CGCCCGCGCCCCCCCCCTGGACGTCCTTCTTCGCCGACGACGGGCAGCACTACGCGCCCGTGGCCGAGGCGCCCCCCGGCCCCTTCGGCTACGCGCGGGGCCAGGCGCCGGCGGGCCAGGAGGGAGCCGACTTCCCCCCCGACGTGTGGTACCCGGGCGGGATGGTGGGCCGGGTGCCCTACGCCGCGCCGCCCACCTGCATCAAGACCGAGCTGATGCCGTGGATGGAGGGCTACGCGGGCGCCTACGGGGACGTGAGGTGAGGAGCCGGCGCCCCGAGGGAGGGCAGGCCCCCGGGCGGGAGCGCCCACGAGGAGTCGCTGCCTCGAGCCCCGAGGGCAGGGACCGGGCTCTTGCTCTCCTGGCCGGTCTCACAGGGCTGCTGGCAGACGGGACACGAGGCGGGCTCGGGCCCCGCGGGGGCAGAGGGGGGATGCTGGAAGGCAGAGGCAGCTGGCTCTGACCAGGGGCACCCCCCACCCCACTTTTGGCTTGCAGCCTCCAGGTCTAGGAAGCCAGAAGTCTTCCTCATGCTTAGCCCCAGCTGCATGTGCCTGGTAGGCGATGCCATGCTGGCCTTTCTGCACCAACCAGAAGCTGGTGGAGCCCTTGCTTGAAGCTTTCCTGCCTTTTCCTTTTTTTTTTTTTTTTAAACTTCTCTTTAAATGACTTATGCATCTGTTTCCAGCATGCTCACTGCCCCGGGGGGCTAGGAACATGGGGCCAGCCTGGTCCATACGCTTTTAGCAACTGGCTAAGCTTAAATTTCAGGTTGAAAAAAAAAAAAAAATCTTCAGAGTGCCCATCTCCTTGGCCAGTGGAACAAATAGCTGACGAAGGTGCTAGAAAAAATTAAAGCAAAGTGAATTTGTTGGAGTAAAAGTGCTTCCAGCCAATTTGAACGCCCGTATTTCTCACCCAGTTAAAAGAGGGATCACCTTAATGTAAATGTTTTAAGAAAGAGATAACTTTCTAATTACTGACTCTGTGGGTGTCTTTTTTTTTCATGGAAACCCCAAAAAACAAGTCATGAGGAAATTTTATATATCTTATACATGGGAATTCACTAAAAGTAATTTCTGTCTTGGTACTGCCATCAGGTTACAGCTTCCTCAAAGAAGGAAATAAGTCTGTATGAAGAAAGTAAAAAGTTTCATACCATTGCACAGGTAGTTAGGTGTTAGCGACGCGCTGTACAGATACATACCTGCTGTAATCAAGGTAATCTTAGGGTGATTGGGTGGATGACAGGATAACCAGTGGGCTATATAGATTATATCCATTTTTCACATTGTGGTTGCTGGTTCAAATCTAGCCCATGTCACTCATGTTTGGTACAGCCTAAAAAATGAGATTGTGGTCTCAGTCCAGGCACTAGCCGTCAGGTTGCTTCATCTAACCTGTCACCCTTGTTGACATGGTGAGGTCAAGGTTTAAAATGGGCAGACAGGTTCTCCATTCAGATAAGCATTGTCCTTGCCTTGGTGGTTGGCTTTGCTCTGCATTTTTTGTTGATTAAAAAAAGACTGCTTAATTTTCTTTTGGCAATGCAGTAGCTATTACAAATGCATTTAAACGTATTACATAAAAAAGAGGTGACAAAAATGGGGGGAAAGGAAGGAAATTCCTGAGATAAAATGAGGCTAACTCACGCCTGTTGTGCCAGTGTTGAGAGTTAAGTGGAGAGTGGTTATTTTAGGCTTGATTTTCTCCCCATTTCTCCTCCCATCTAAGTCAGCAGAAAGTCAAGAGAGCTGAATTAAGTCCTTTCTCTCCTGCTTTCTGTCAGTGGACAACCCAACTTTTAAGCTGCATGGTCCAATACTGCAAAGTCCTTTCTCACACGTGTGACCCTTACAAGAGAACTAATCATGTGAATGAAGAATACTTGTGGGAAGGAGGGTAGGACTGGATGCCTAGTGTCAAGGGTATTTAATACTTAATTACTTTATGGTAGTTCTTAGAAACCCATTATTAGTTTGATGGTTAAATTGCCTCTCAGGGCTCTTACCTGCCATTCTGTTGGATCCTAATTTTTTAAAATTCAAGTACCCAGGGAGGAGGTGTGCCTTCCCTCTGACGTTGTGCAGTTTAGTTACTGCTGAAATTATTTGTCATCTAAATGAGATGTTTGCAACTTGCTACCTATTAATTGTGATCTGCTATTTCTTTTCATTTACTTCTGGATATGAAAAGATAACAGATGAGTAAATAATCAGAATTGTGATAGACACTAATTTGAACAAATTAGACATCATTTTCTTTCAAGTGATGAAAGAGAGTCACAGTTGTTAGAGCATTTTCTAGGAGAATCGTTCACCCATTGCCCTCCAACAAGCGAGTCCCCTTTAATGGTCATACTTGATATAGTATGACACAGTAGTTACAAGCAAGGTTTGATTATTAGCTCTTTAGGTTAATATCCTTCCTGGCATTGCACAAAATACCAAAGAATGGATTGTGCAGGGAATTTCTTCTCCAACTCTGAGGCAAGTAAAATAGTCTCCTAGCTTTCTCCTTAAGATTGGATAAGGGACCCATCTAATGTGTCAACCACTTTGGCAGAATGGTAAGATTCCTTCTTCTTGACCTGGTGGTTAGCAGCAGATACCAAGGAGACGTGAGTCTTTCTAAAGGAGAAATAATAACTATTCTGAAATGCTTTGGTACCGGCCCTCTTTCCTCCTGTGTGTCTCAGCAGGACAGACCCTGGTTCTTTCATTCCACTCTTACTGCTTTGGCTCTCTCCTGTTGTCCAAGATTTCTTTTGGCAAGTCAGGATAGGTTTATGCTTTATGTTTAGAGTCTTTAGATAAGTAGTAAAGCAGGAGCACACTTTTCCTCCCCTTAACATTTTTTTTTTTTTTGTATTATATTCATCATTTCATCTTTAAAGTGTCTGGGAGGGCTGAATTTCTTAGGGGAGTGCTAATGAGATTTGGAGTCTTTCAATTCTTTGTCATCATTTTGAATCTTGCACGCATTGTAAACTGAATGTTGTTACTGTCTAAATGTTGTTACTGTCTAATGGCTTCAGACGTATTTGGTGAAGTGAGTAGAGTCTAACGGGTGGTGCTGGGACATATATGTTTCAAAAAGCTCCCTCACAGATTGTGATTCTTTTTGACCATCTTTGAAGACAAGACAAAACAGTAGGACATCAGGGACAAGCTGGATGGTCCTACGAGGTTGAGATTTAGTCATGTGGGTGTTACCCGTGTTGTGTCCTTTAGGCAGACAAGGGAAATTCAGTCTGTAGGACTGTCCGTTTGGCACTCTTGAAATATATTAGATTTAATATAACGCTGAAAAGGAGAAATGTAAATCATTGACGCATCTCGATTGCTTTTACGGCATTTCATATGCCACACCAAACCGTCCCCGCAACATTCTCTCGTAAGTAACAACTTCATGAATCCAGGCTCTTGTTACTTTATGGACTGGTAGGGGTTTTTTAAAACCATATCTGTGTTTTTTATTATTTTATTATTAACACTCTTTGAGATGACTTAAAAGATGTTTTCACAATTATGAAAGGTTATAATAGGAAAAATGTCTGTAGCATGGCATGCTTAGAAACCAGAAGATGTGACCTGAAGATTAGAAAGTAGGAGTAAATCTAGAATTTGGGCAGAAATATTTTAGACAAAAAAAATTTTGAGGGGAAAGAAGAAAAGGCTGTAAGTGAATTAAAGGGATTATTTACTTTGAAGGATTTGCCTGTGTATGCAGTTCATCTTTAACAACATTTCCTATCACTGGTGTCCTGTTCCTTTCCCCATCGTTTCTGTTCTTTTGCTAGGTACACCCACTTGTTAATTTTGTATTAAATTAGATGGTAGTCTATTTTGGGCTGGTTCTGTCTCTTACAGTATGTTTGCCTAGAGATCTTAATCTTACTATGGCCTGCAGGTATTATTGTAATAATAATGACTGTGACAATAATCATTGCAACTGGAGAGGGAGACTGAGATATTTGGTATAGAGATCAAAGACGATTATTAAGATTAACCAAAGGTGAAGCAAGCACATTGGGCCAGGTGTTTTTCCCCTCTTCCTAAAATCTGTTTCATTAACTGGAATTAGTATTCCATTATCTGTGTGTATAAGACTCTGAAGGAGAGTTATGTAAGTATCTGAGGAGTCCGCTCCTGCAATTGTTCAGTGGCAGTGTTGCTCTCGGCTTTCCCAGGAACCAGATCAGCCCCCTGTCTCCCTAATTTGACCTTTTCTGTTTGAGCAAATAGTAATATTCTGTAAATATTTCTTTTGAAGGCCAGCAGTGCATGGAAGAATGCCGTTTCTGAAACCTGCCCTTCTGCCTAACTCTCTAATATGCTTTTAGAGTCTGGTTATTAAAGCTGAATTCCAGGTAACTGTGAAATCACCAATGTGCTAAATTCTTTTGCTAGTGACCAGGAAAAAACCCCAAAAATAGTAGTTCCTTCCTCAACACATTTTAAGTCTTCTTGTTAGTTAAAAACCATGGGCCACATTCTCTTCTTGGGTACATGTGGACACTCCCAGCAGTATTGTGTTTCTTGGAGGGAGCAGATTCTCGGCTTGCAGCATTGCGGGTGTGTTTTCAGTGTTTGATTAGACCCATAGGACCAAATCCTGAGGTCCTTGCGTAGGCATTAGACCCATTGCTTTAATGGGAGTCCTGCCTGAGAGGGAAAAAAATGTGGTTTTTTGGGCAAGATTAGCAATCAGCCCTCAATTCCCACTCCTCATCTCTTTACTAAGTGCTTTTAGTAATGTTTGGTTGGTTAATTGTTGATCAGATAATGCTCACAGTGGCTTGCATTGCTTTAAAAATAAACTACAGCCCGGCAAAAATTTACCAGTGACTTCAGAGGGTCAAGCCTAGGAATTGCTTTTGTCCAGGTCATTAGTGACAGTGAGCTTTGGGATCCCACCCTGTTGCACAATGGTAAATTGTCAGCCTTTCCACATAACAAACTGAACTCTTCTGTACCGTCATCAGTTAATGTTAAGGAGTGGCTGAGGCGGGGCCAGAGCATGACATGCAGAGGCCCTAAACTGTGTCCATTTTAAGATGTCCCACACGATAAAAATAATCCAATGTATGTATATTTTTGTCATATTAGAATGAAAATGTCTATAGAGAAAGTGTGCAATTAAAGAATTGTTTTTGCAAAAATCTTGTTGGTATAATTAAAGATATCATCTCTACTACAAGTCCTGATTACCATATTTAGAGACTCATTTGCCCATATCTCCTTTATTTCCTTTATT